TCATGGACTTTAGGGACAAACTATAGGAACAATTGGTACAATGACAACAAGAAACACAAAATGCCACATTGGCACATTTAAACAACATTGTCTGTTGGCTAAATCCAACAAAACTGGTTCTCAGGTCTCAATGTTAGGATTTGGATTTTATTTGGTATAGATTTATTATTTTTGTTAATTTTTTCTTGTAATTTAAAAGCCCCATGCTGCCTATTCCAGAGAACTCCTTGTGTGAAGCTATGCTGATCTCCCTGTAACTCTCCTAATACCAGCCGTTACCTGTCTTTTGCTAATAGCAACTTGGTAGTCTTATATTTCTCGATTTTATTACCCACCATACAAGACCATGCAAATGGATCCATGTAATGAATCTCCCAGTATTTCAAGTCCTAAGTTGGATTGACCCAGAACCACCCATCGGCACTAATGTTTCCCCCACTCTAGGTATACCAGAGATACCTGGTGATGTGACTATGCTTCTGGTCCATAGCCTACCTGCTGCCTGGACTATTCACTTTCTAAATTATTCACTTTGTTTTATGTGTAGTACAGACTATGCTATGTACCTATCTCCATATAGCATTCCTATTTCTTCTTTTTATTATTTTTTATTTTTTTAAAGATTTATTTATTTATTCAAGAGCTGGGGTATAGGTCAGAGGCATGGGAGGGTGAGAGGATTCACCAGAGACAGAGCGGGGGGCAGAACAGGCAGATGGACTGAAAGCACTGCTGAAAGGAGCAGCAGGCGAGACAGGAGAGGTCTACCGCAGCATGTGGTTATCTCCCTGGCCAGCCGTAAATTGAACCCACGCTGTAGAGGCTGCGGACAGCATCATAGAGCTGCACGCAACCCGTTGTGCCACTGGGGAGGCCTCCCCATTTCTTCTTAATGGGAATATCCCATTAATATTCCCCCTATTCTCATTTTTCCTCTTTTTAAATAAAATAAAAAAGGGGGACATGTGGGTCTACCAGACTTAAATGGCCTGCTTGGCCACCATTTTTCTTACCTGCAGTTCTGCATTCCTATACCAGCTCAGAGCTGCCAGGCTGATCCGTTATAAGAGCCCAACCTTACAAGATGCCTTTTAAATCAAACAAGAGCAGAAAGCTTGATCACCCAGGAAAGGGTATGCATCATGAGGTATGATTATACAGAAAAATCTAGACTTCCTGTGGTATATCAGCATTAAGCCACCCTTCCTCTGTCATTTTGGTATGCCTGTCTCACATCCACTGGGCTAAGCAAAAGCAAATGCTTTACAGGCAAACCAAAGCTGGGTTACTGAGAATTCTGTTATACCAATCTGAGAGGTTAACCCAGTTCTTAGTGTTAAGAATTTGTAATACTAAAACAAACAAACAAACAAACAAAAAAACCTAATTTTAGCTTTCTTAATGAAGAACTATGCATAATATAAAGCCATATCCTCTATTCATGTTGGAGATGGAAAATAAAATCATCTCAAATTTGTGAGGGATCAAGTAAAATGATTAAGCATTTTATAAATAGAAATTTCTTGAATATAACACAAATGTGGCAGCTTTACAAAAAATCCAGGAGAACTATGAGTTTAATCCTTTACTTAACCTGTCTGGGCCTCAGTTACCTAGGTATAAAATGTGTCACCAGTTGATAGCTGGTTTCAAAGGTCTTTTTACAGCGTTAAAAATTTGACATTTTAGGGCCTCCCCGGTGGCGCAGCGGTTGAGCGCTGGCTTGCGAAGCTGCCCGCGGCCTCTGCGGCGCCGGTTCGATCCCCGGCTGCTCCCCGGCCACCGGAGGAGGGTCCCACATGGCGCGCAGACCTCTCCTGCCGCCCGCTGCTCCCCTCAGCAGTGTACTTCGGTCCTTCTGCCTGTTCTGCTCCCCGCTCTGGCTCTGGTGAATTCTCTCACCCTCCCGCGCTTCTGACTGTACCCAGTGCATGTATAAACAAAACAAACAAACAAACAAATAAATAAATAAATAAAAACATGCCTCTATTAAAAAAAAAAAAAAAATTTGACATTTTATCAATCTTTCTATTTAAAAAAAAACAAACTAAATCCTTAGGTATAGATAAGTTACAGCTAATTTCAAAGTGATTTATTCCAGAAAGAAACATAAAAGATAAAATGTATATAAACATATGGAAAGAGAAGTTTTAAAAACTGTTAAGTATTTATTCCTTCAGACACTAAAATCTTTACTATTGACTCTATTTTTTTTTTTTTTTATAGAGACATGTTTTATTTATTTATTTATTTATTTGTTTGTTTGTTTTGTTTATACATGCACTGGGTACAGTCAGAAGTGCGGGAGGGTGAGAGAATTCACCAGAGCCAGAGCAGGGAGCAGAGCAGGCAGAAGGGCCAAAGTACACTGCTGAGGGGAGCAGCGGGCGGCAGGAGAGGTCTGCGCGCCATGTGGGACCCTCCTCCGGTGGCCGGGGAGCAGCCGGGGATCGAACCGGCGCTGCAGAGGCCGCAGGCAGCTTCGCAACCCAGCGCTCAACCGTTGCGCCACCTGGGAGGCCCTTTACTATTGACTCTAGATGACAAGTATTTTTTTTAAACACCCATACTTTCTAGAATGTGCAAAGTGAATAGATAGAATATAATTTAATATAAAAATAAAGGTCATCTTGTTTCCCCTATTATAATGTACAAGGTAAATATGATTACTAAAGCTAGGATGGAGGGTGGGGCAGCACTGAGTAAATAAGGTAATCCTTGGTACCTTCCATAAAGTTGATATCCTCATTTTTATCTTTTTCATCTCTTTTTCTCCTATTTTTTTTGTCCTGTTCATAGCACCCCTCACACAGGGCTTTAATTTAAAAATATAGTGGACTAATGTGATTCTTTCTAAAATTTTTTATCATATTATAAATAGCAAAAAGAAAAAAATGTGTTACTATTATTACTTCACTTCTACTCACCAGTACAGAGTAAAAATAAGGAAGATGGCTATAGAGACAACAGCCACCTCAAGTCAGAAAGAATAAGATTAAGATCTATATACCCAATCAATGAAGCAAGCAAAATCAATTTTTAAAAGCAATGCTATGAGATGCATGTAGTTTACACACAATATGTGTAATATACATATATTTCAAGTGAACAGTTTAGAAAATTTTGACTAATATCTGTCCATCCCAATTAAGATGCAGAATTTTTCTGTTGCCCCCAAAAGTAACCTAGTGCCTCTCTGCATTCAATTCCCTTCTGTTTATATCTTCCTGGTAACCACTGATCTACTTTTTGTCCTTGTAGATTGGTTCTGCTTCTTTTAAAATTTCATACTGATGGAGTTATGCATTAATGTGGCAGCTTCTTTTTTTTTTTCTCTCTCTAATAGTCTACTCCTTTATTGTTCAGTATTCTCGATGGCTTCTTTTGCTCACTGTGTTTTTGAAGTTTTTCAGGTTGTTTTATGTATCAGTAACTTCTTATCATTGAGTCGTATTCTATTATATGGATACACCACAATTTGCTGATCCATTCACCTATTGAAGGATGTCCAGTTTTCAGCTTTTTACTGTCATGAATAAAGCTGGTATAAACATTGTGTGGTATTATGTTAATTATGATTAACTACAATAAATTTCCAATTTCCCTAAGTAGTTATACCGTTATACACTCTTACTAGCATTAACAGTTCTAGTTATTCCATATGTTTACTGACATTTGCTATCTATACACCTTTAAAATGTTAGCCATGGTTGTGTAATGGCTCACTGGCATTTTACTCTGTATTTTCCTGACAAATTAATGATGTTTAACATTTGAGCAAAAATTTGATTATATGTATATATTTCCAATTACAATAAACTATAAGTCTTTAGGGAGTATCTTTATTATAGATTTGTTTCATCAGTCCCATACTAAATTTATTTAGAAGATTATAAAAATCTGACACCATATGCCACAAAGGTCAGCTTTGGAACTAAGATAGACTTCCACAAAATGACATTCTGGTACAGTAGTTACACTGAAACTCCCAGCTAAATCAAACTCCCAGCTGGGCAATGGTTTTGTGTTGCCAACTCTACCGCCACCATATGGTAATGTTCAAAGAAAAAGGAATCAGGAAAAGTCAGTTTCCATTTTCACTGCTTCTCCTGCACACATTTTTAAAACTATAGAATGCCTGCAAACCGAGTTGTTCTTCAGTTTTAATTACTTAAAAAAAGTGACATTACAAAATTCTCAAACAGCAAAGTACTTTAATTCCTCCAAATTCAGGGAAGATGGATTGTGAAATTCGTTTTTCCGTTTTGTCGCAAAGATCTTTGGTAAATCACCTTACATTTCTACAGATAACTATCTTGAGGTTAGTAACTATTTCCTAACTTAAATGGTAGACTGCCATAGGGGGAAAAAACGTAGGATACTTTTTGCTTTTTACTGAGCAATTTCAAGATAGCAGCTGGGTTATACAAAAATTTTCCTCTGAACACTCAAAAATGTTATCCTCAGCCCTTTTATTTCTGTCTCCTTCCCTCCTCGCCCAGATCATAAGCAGGCGGACTGGCCGCTGCGGAACCCCGGCGGTGACAGGGAGAATGCCAAAGGCTCTGTCCCGCCCTTCGCTTATCGATTTGCAGATTTGCAGATCTCCCCTCCTTCACCTGCACCCAGGGTCCTGCACCCGGCCTTTAGCCATTGGTTTGCAGATTCTTCTCCTGTTCCCTCTTCCTTGGGGCTCCCTGCTCTTTGCTAGGGAAAGTCGCCAGGAGCCCAGCGCCCGCGGCGCCCAGCAGCTCCCCGCCCGGGCCCCACCGGGCTGCAGCCGTCGAGGCCCCGGTCTGAGCAGCCGGCCCGACCCCCTTGACGGTCCACGCCATCCCCCCGACTTCGCGGTGGCCTCCGGACCCCGGGGCAGACGGGGACTCGGTGGAGGCCACGCACTAGAGCAGCCCCGGCCCCTTCCGCCCCGGGTGCGGGTCCTCTAGCCGCTCTCGCCCGGGACTACCGCCCGCCCGGTGCCCAGCGGCCGCCCGGCTGCTCACCGGCTTTAGCCCGCGCGGCGCCCTTCAGGAGGGGCGTGCTGTCTGAGCCCTCCTCGCCGTCGCTCAGGGTCGGGCCCCGAATCGGCGACGTCATGACGCCTCCGAGAAGCAGGTGTGCGGCCTAGAGGGCTGAAAGGAGAGCTCTAGCCGGACAACGGACACCCCGGGACCAAGCCGTTAGGGCCGAATTGGGGTGCCCACATCCCCAAGTCCCGGGTCTGGCACCGCCCTTTGACGACGTTGTGTCTCGGCGGCCCCGCCCGGAGGTGGCCGCGCCGACTCCGCCCCGGCGCCATCTTAAGTTCGGGCAGGCGGATGCGGTGGGCGGGGCGAGCGGAGTCCTAGACGCTGTGACCTGTTGGTGGGGGCGCGCGCGGGTTAGCCGGCGCCGGGTTCTCAGCTCGCCACGGAGCAGGTGTTCTTCAGGGTTGTGTTCTGGTTTTGCGCTCATTTGCAAAGCCCAAGGACCCCACCTTTCCCGGGCGGAACTGGAGTGCGAGGCTGGAGGCGGGAAGCGGGGACTTGAATTCCAGTTAATTAAGGGGAAGACTTTGATTGAACTTAGAAAGTGGATGATGTGTATGTGACCTTCAGTTATCAGTAGTAAGTTGCCATGAACATTAGCTACTCCTGTTACTATCTACCCGTGAGGACATATTGTCCCTTAAATAACTTTTGCGGAAGAATGGACACATTGTCGAGTCCTATAAAATTGCTGATTTTGTGGGTCAAAAATAAATCTGCGATGGACGTTTCATATGGTTCTGTTACAGGGCAGGGAGAGGGGCAGCCCAGACCCCCCAAACTTGCCAGCTCGCAATAGGTTCTGACATCCACTGCATCAACACAAAACATATGAGACTTTAATGGGAAGGAACTTTAATATAATTAGGAAACAATACAGGAAAGGCAAAGAATATAGTTTCTAAATCAAGCACCCACAGTTACCCGTCCCCTCATGGGTAAAAGTCCACCCAAGCAGGATTGGCCCAGAGCAAGGCCCCAAAGCCTGCCACGAGTCTCAAGCATCTTCCAGTGGAGACCCACAGAAAAGGATCAGAAACAACCCGACAAGTCTGAGAGGAAAAGAACAAAATGAAAATCAAGACAAAAAACTGTCATTGTCACCTCCCCACAGGTCTCTCACCCATATACATCTGTGTCACCCAGCCCACGACCAAGGGGCAAGCGCAGTTTTCTCACGTGTCTCTCAGCTCCATGTGCCTCCTCCAGGTCTCCTTCTGGCTCTCCATCCTGCTTCTTCCCTTGCTCAGTCTCCTCTGCAGCTTCTTCTCTCTCTCAGCTCCACCCTTCTTTTGGGTGGGGCAGGAAACCTGGAACCTTCCCCTTTCCTGGGGACCACCCTGTTACAGTTCCACCTAAAAATACTTTGATGTATGTGAGCTTTGTCTCCACAGATTTAACTCAACAGGTTCTTCGGGCATTTGCTGTCAGAGAGAGGAACTAGGAAGGTGAGCCATACTGCTTTGGGGCAGGAGCAGAGTTGCCAATTGGGACACAAGGGTTTGGTGAGGTCCTTGTTTGAACAAAAGGGAGGGTTACCCTTGCTGCCAGGGGAGGGTGGCATCCTTTTCCCTGGGATGTGTACATGCTAGAAAAAAGGTTATGTTAAAACAACAAATAAAGCCTTGTTTCTGAGTTACTGAAATTACCAATTAGATTTACACTCTTGGGGGGGGGGATTTCCTCTTTGAGGAATATTATAGAGCAGTGCCACTAAGACTTGAATATGCATGTGCAACAGGGTACTCCTTCCCTGATCTCAACCAAGGGGCCCAAGCCTCAAGTCAAGACCCAGTTGGACTGGGCCTATGAAGCTGACTCCACAACAAAAAGAGTTGCCTCAGAGCAAATCAGAAACTTCAAAGAAAGACAGAATTCAAGGTTTTTCTTTTTTCAATTGTAGTATATTTCATTGAGATAAAATTCTATACAACACTATATACCCCACAAAGTACAAGTTCACATCTCTGCAGATGAGACTTCAAGGTTTAGGGCATTGCTAAAACTTGTTAAGTCCCTGTTTTCCTCAATACATAGATAACATCACATGGATACATTAACCAAGCAAGTATTCTTTGCCTTTATAGAAATACTTGAAATAACTATAAAAGCCTCAATGAGAAGCTCAGATTTAGGGCAGCTTTCCCACTTCTATCTGGAAATCGTTGATGGACTTGAGTCTTCACTCTTAATTTTTTAATAAAATCACTTAATTTTGCTTGCATCTGTTTTTAGACATGTGAAATCACCTGACAGATCCTTTCAAAATGCACATTCAGATTCATCAGGTCTGGTGTGACAGTAAATTTTACATGTCAACTTGGAGGTTTTGGATGAAGTAAACCAAACTCCCGGGTAAAGCAGATTGCTCTCCATGGTGTGGGTGGTTCTTATTCAATCACTGGAAGATCTAAATAGAATAAAGAGGGACACCCCTGAGCAAGGGGGAATTCACAAATTATTTGCTTTCCGATTATGCCATTGCCTCTCCTGGGTATCCAGGCTATTGGCCCACACTGCAGATTTAGAATTATCCACCTTTGTAATTGCAGAACTTAGTTCCTTATAATACTGTGCTTTATACACACACACACACACACACACACACACACACCTCCTATTGTTTCTCTTTAGACAAAAATACATACCCTATTGATTGTTTCTCTAGAAAACCCTGACTAATACATCTGGGATAGTTCTGGGGTTGTGTATTGCTAAAATAATTCCCATGTGACCACATTTTGAGTAGCAAGATTAAAGAGAATTTGGAAAGATTCCAACACACCTAGAAGATTTCAAACTAGAGGAAGTTCTTTTATTTTTTTAAAAAACACACCTTTTAAATTAGAAGTTTTAAATTCACAGAAAATTTGCGGAGATAGTTAGCGAGTTCTCCGTATCTTTTTTTTTTTAAATAAATTTTATTTTTATATTCCCCATACAATTGCAACCCCCTTATTTTGACCCCAATCCCTCCCCTCCCCACCCCCCACCCCCATAGAGTGTCTCTGGTTCATAGTTGTTTGTTGATTTTGATTTTCACTTTCTTATAGTTATTCATTTTCCTGGTCCCTTATTTAAGTTTTCTAGATTCCTGCTATGAGTGAGACCATCCGGTATTCTTCTTTTTCCTTCTGGCTTATTTCGTTGAGCATGATCCCTTCCAGCTCCATTCATGTTGCTGCAAATTGCATGTGTTTATCTTTTTTGAATGCTGAGTAATATTCCATGGTGTATATATACCACATCTTCTTGATCCAGTCATCTATTTTTGGGCATTTGGGTTGTTTCCAAAGCTTAGCTATTGTAAATAGTGCTGCTATAAACATAGGGGTGCAGGTGCTCTTTGGAATTGATGTTTCTGTGTCCTTTGGGTAAATACCTAGGAGTGGAATTGCTGGATCATATGGAAGCTCTATGTTTAGTAGGTCCAGAAATCTCCACACAGCTCTCCATAGTGGTTGGACCAGTTTGCACTCCCACCAACAGTGCAGAAGAGTTCATTTTTCTCCACATCCTTGCCAACATTTGTTGTTGCTAGATTTTTTAATATGTGCAAGTTCTCCATATCTTTTGCATAGTTTGACCTATGGTTAAGATCTTAAATTTTTTGAGGTGCAAAAGAAATCTTTCCCTATCCCTCAGGGTTCTTCTTGAACTGGACAAGAATCAAAAGAGTAATCAAAACAGCACCAGATGGGTTAGCAAAGGAAAAATCAATAAACAGCATATAGAGAATTTGCATGGTTGTGTGAGGTCAGTTTCCTCAAAAGGGTCAGGTAGGTTTTTCTCAATGTGCTCAGAGTAGGCCTCTTTTTGCCTAGTATAGGAACTAGAGGTCAATCAAGGCCCTCTAAGTCTCTGGAGATCTATTAACATGACTTAGTGAATGCATACTGTTTTGGATTGAGAGCAGTGAGTACTTTGAAGGCTAGCCAAAGCTTCTCTCCTTGCCTAAGTCCTTTGCTTTGCACCTCCGTAATTTAAGAAGAGATACCTAGAAGAATGTAGTTTAGAAAGTCTCAACCAGATCTAGGTTTATCAGTAAACATGTTCTTCCTGTCTAAGAATCTCATCTTTACTTTCAGAGTAAGAATGAAGTAATTGCTCCCCCTTGCTTGTCATGTGAAGTATCTCTCTTTCTGTCCTTGACATACCAGGTATCAAAATGTAGGAAAAATACTCCTGGTCTATTCCATTATCCTTGGGAATTTACAACCAAGTAAAGCCTCCATTTGTGTGTTATTAAATTGATTGTTTTTCCTTTGCTGACCTGTTTGACGCTGCTTTGATTGCTTGTTCAACCTGAGAAGACCCCAGACAGGTACAGAATTATTTCCTTTGTGCCCCATCAGTTGCAAATTTTAAGAAACAATGGGGCAGACTAAGCATATTTTTACTGTGTTTTTAGACCTGAGGTACAAAGGACAGAGAGGTAGAGATTTTACATGACAGACAAGAAGGGGGTTACTTAATCCTTATTCTAGGGAAAAAGGTGATTCTTAGAGAGGACATGTTCACTGATAAACCTACAACTGGATGAGCCCCTCCAAACAATATTCTTCTAGGTCATAAAAAGGGGAGCAGTGATTTCACTTCTGATTAGGAAAAGGGCAAAAGCTTAGGATGTGAGGATCCCTTCTTTGATTAGGGAGGTGCAAAGGATTTGGGAAAGGATGGAAGTTTCTCAGGAAGTTTCATGGCTCCTAGCTCAAAATATTCTGCATGCCAGTGGTGCATTTTGAGGAAACCACTTCTGGGAATCTTGTGTTTATTTGGGCGCCTTCACATTAGTATTTTGGATGAAAATAATAATCCCAGTAAAAGTGATAACTAGACAAAGAATTTATTAGGTAATGAAAGTATGGATTCAAGCCCAGAAACAACCTGACAGATTTTACTCTGAGAGATCTGCTCCATTATCACAAGTTTGTGTGAGTGAGATTATATACCTTAGGAAAGACAGGAATAATCATTTTGTTATTTCAAACAATACAGTGATCATTACATTAATTTTTAAAATTCTTTTTTTAAAAAAAGATTTATTTTTTATTTATACAATAGCTGGGGTACAGGCCAGAGGTGTGGGAGGGTAAGAGGATTCACCAGAGACAGAGAGGGGAGCAGAACAGGCAGACGGACCAAAATACACTGCTGAGGGGAGTAGCGGGCACAACAGAAGAGGTCTGCTATGCCATGAGGGAATTTCGCTGGCTGGCCAGGAATCAAAGC